TTATCGCAACATATTACAGTACCTACCAGAGGTCTATCATGTATTGATCACATATTTAGTAATGTGAGAGGTGCTATAGGGTCAACACTTCCATTGTATTTGTCTGATCATGATACGACTCAAGTTTTAGTATTTAACACAAATAAAAAGATTATTACTCCAAAAGTAACATATATGTATAAAAGATGTTATTCTAAAGAATATATTGAAAAATTTAAAACTTATTTATCAAGTTTTTCTTTTTCAGAGGTATATGATGAATGTCACCCAAATATGGCATTTAATAAGTTTTGTGATATGTTCTGTTTGTTATATAAGCTCTGCTTTCCAATATACAAGGTCAAAATAAATACTAAATCAAATCTACATTGGATTACAAAAGGAATTAGAAAAAGCTGTGTGATTAACAGAGTACTGCGATATAATTATTACAAAAAGAAAAATGAATTTAATAAAAACAAATATCTTAACTATTCTAAATTATTAAAAAAATGTATAATACAAGCTAAAAAACAAACCAATAATAACTACATTATTAATAGTAAAAATACGTGCAAAGCAACATGGAGAGTTATTCAGGATGAAATTGTTAGCACAGACTCAACATAGTAACTCTTATATAGATTCAGTTGTATATAATAACAATATTATTAGTAGTCCTGGAACAATCGCAACTGTATTTAATGATTTTTTTATTGAATTGACAAATAAATCAAATGCTAGTATTAAGTATGAACCCACTAATGACATCTTGAATAATTCTATTTATCTTAATCCTATTGACAAACATGATATTGGTAAAATTATTAATTCGTTAAATAATACTACTTCTGAAGGTTATGACAATGTATGCACTAAAGTTTTAAAAGAATGTAAAGACCAAGTAAGTCCGATCTTGGCATATTTAATAAATCTTTCAATGGTATCCGGTACATTTCCAGACAAACTAAAAGTGTCTGTAGTTAAGCCAATACTTAAAAGGGATAATAAAACAATTCTAAATAACTATCGACCAATTACATTAGTACCTATATTCTCAAAAGTTTATGAAAAGGTTATGTATGATAAACTCACATCATTTTTTAATAAATACCAGATTTTAAAGTCCAATCAATATGGTTTTCAAAAGAAAAAATCGACTACTCAAGCTGTTGTGGCGACTGATACATAGCGACATCTAATTCATCGCAGTAACATCGCCACAACAATCGATAGCGAGAAAACTAGCATCGTCACAGCCATCGATAGCAAGACGAACTGCAATAAGTTTCAACAGCAAGTAACGAGATGGCGCTGTACCAATACAAGCAGCATAAATTAATAACTACAAGACATTTAGAACAAAGAAACCTACATCGCACAGAATAAGTTTCATTACCAATTAACATAAATAGAACGTCCAACCTACATCGGTTGGACCGCGGTCCCCGGGCTAACAACACCTAGCTCGGAGGGAGACAATTATCCTTTAGTCTCCCTGGCCAGTTGTCTCCATCACCACACTAGGGACCCCAACCTTCAACTTAAGGTTCCTAAAGTGGTGACCCCGACGTGATCTTCAACCGACGTGATCTTCAACCGACGTGATCTTCAACCGACGTGATTTGAACACGCAACCTTCTGATCACATCGCAGCCATCACTCTTCATCAACAGCCTCTCGCCCTTCATCATCAGCTCTCTCATCCCTCATCAGCACAGCCACTTCAGCAGCAAGCCAGCCAACACCAAGGTCCATCACAGCAGCATCAACGGCGCTTCCTGGATTCTTGGCACCACATGACGGCATCATCCCGACCTGGTCCTCGCAGCCCACGACCGGACCTCAGTTCACACACAACTCACCGGCGTGGCAGCCCTGCACACCAGCAGCTTCGGTCCCGACGTCACAACCATGGCACTTGCAAGCTCTGAAGCACTGACTGCATACCACCTACTATCAACATGGATCGACCTTCGGTCTAGGGGGAAAGTACTGTGGCGACTGATACATAGCGACATCTAATTCATCGCAGTAACATCGCCACAACAATCGATAGCGAGAAGACTAGCATCGTCACAGCCATCGATAGCAAGACGAACTGCAATAAGTTTCAACAGCAAGTAACGAGATGGCGCTGTACCAATACAAGCAGCATAAATTAATAACTACAAGACATTTAGAACAAAGAAACCTACATCGCACAGAATAAGTTTCATTACCAATTAACATAAATAGAACGTCCAACCTACATCGGTTGGACCGCGGTCCCCGGGCTAACAACACCTAGCTCGGAGGGAGACAATTATCCTTTAGTCTCCCTGGCCAGTTGTCTCCATCAGGATCCAATCTGTGGAAATTTCTAAGTTGGATACTTATAAGGTAGCACAAAAATATAATTCTAAATTCAAGAGAAACAAGTTCGGGGTTCCCCAAGGCAGTGTTTTGGGCCCACTGCTGTTTCTGATATACATTAATAATCTCCATAATGATACAGAACATCAACGCATTCTATTTGCTGATGATATATCATAATCACAACGGATAACAAGTTTACGATAGATGAACACAAAAATGACATTTAAACAACAATGATAGCTATAATTGATTGGCTCAGAAATAAAAAATTAATAAATTTTAATAACATTCATGCAATAATTAATATAAATTATTAACAACTGATAATTAAAAATGTTGATTCAACAAAATTCTTAGGTATAGTAATTAATCAAAGACTGGATTGGAAAAATCAGGTAGAAAAAGCTTGCAATAAAATTAACCAATTTTCAATTGCTCTTTATAAATTATCAAAGATAGCTACTAAGGGTATGGCTCTTACAACGTATTTCACTTACGTATAATCCGTTCTTAGATACGGGCTTCTCATATGGGGTAACAGTACAGACATTAAAAAAACCTTTGTTGCTCAAAACAAAAGTATTAGGGCGATATGTGGTGCTGTATCTGATGAACACTGTAAGCCTCACTTTAAATCTTTAAAATTATTAACTTCACCTTGTTTATACATTTTTGAAGTTGCTGAATTCGTAAAACAAAATACTTATGTGTCACTTCAAACAGGCAAAAAATGTATATATACGCAATACCAGAAATTGTGATAGATTGGTTTCTGATATCATTAAAAGGAGCGCGCGATTCCAGTATAACTGTTATTGGTTGTGTATTGAGCTTTTCAATAATATCCCTCTTAACATTAAGAATCTTCTGTTTAATAGCTTCAAAAAAGCTCTATTTATATGGCTGTGTGATAATGCTTTTTATAGTGTTAGGGAATATTTAAATCATACAAAGTAAGTAACGAATGCATGCATGCTGAGAAGATGTGTAATGTCTTTACAATGTGTGATCTTTTCGTTTGTTTGTTCTTTTTTTTCTCTTCAATCTGGACATAATCTACTTTTATATTTGACACTGATTTTAAAATTTTAATTTGTTTGATCATTCGTCAAGTGGGAATAATAATTGTACTCAATAATAGTTTTATGTAACAATGATATTTCTAATTTAATAATTTTGACATACATATATCCAATGTAATTTTATCAATATTTGCATGCTATAGTTGATGGCTAAATGGGCTGAACTCAAATTTTAATTCAATCTACAATGTGAAAAGTGACACTAGTGTTTTAAACAAATTAAATGACAATTTAATGAAATGTGCACGTTTATGTCTGGACAGACGTGGACTTCATTTTGAACAAATATTAAAATACATGGTAAGTAATTAGTTAGGTATTTGTTTTGATTCAACATTATTGTAAATACGTAGTTGATTCTAATTTTTTTAAATACGCCTTAACGCAGAAGTACCTATGTAACTTCGGCATAACGTTAATATTTTTTTCTAGGTAACGAATTTGTTTCTCTTTTATTTTTTTGCATTTTGATGGCCTTAACCATAAAAGTATGAAGGGAAAATTGGAATTACTCTTAGAAAACACCTCAGATCATGGCATAAAATCTAGTTCGAATCTAACAAAATGAGCGTTCAGTGACCCGTGTAGATAGGTACCTACGAGTACATGCCTACGGCGGCGTCGAGCGAGCGCTCAGCTGACGCACGGCGCGCGGTGTCCATAAATGAAGTTTTAAAATCTCGATCTTTGATAAGCGATAACTTTATTTTTTAGTATTAGAACATATCAAAATAAAAAATACGTGTTTATTTAAATTACTTAAAGTTTATTTTCACAAAATCTTCGCAGTGGTTTTAAATTATTCCTGTATATATTACACTTTGTATTTGAATGTAATTTTAACTCGAGTGTCGTCCTTTTCTTTTTTAAAAATACATTGTTAAGAAGACTGACCCTTTTTTTTTTAAAGAGGGGGGGGCGGGTATTTACGTCCCACTTCTGAATTATCATGAATTCTCAAATTCACAGCACAATAAATACTCTTGATTCAGTTTTAACATTTTTATCAGCCAACTAGCCAACTAAACGACTTAACACCTCGATTGTTACCCAACGACCGCCGAGCTGACGACCCAACAATCAAACGCTGCCTCAACCCCACCACTCTCTTCTTCTTTCACCTCTCAATCCTTTCACCGGAAGCCGTCACAAAAGAGTGACGGGGCCGAGCAGTGTTGCCATTTAAGAAAAATAGAACTACATTTTATAAAATTATTACACATGTAACACGTTCAACAAATATAAAATGTATCTTGAGTATGGAGCCCATACAAAATTTAATCTAAATTCCTATCAGTCAATAATGGTCTTAATTTATAAATATCTTTGTTTTCTTTACAAATTCTATTTGTATTATCTTTATTAATGTAATCAGATAGACGCGCTCAGAGCCTTTTTTCATTGTTTTATCTATTAGCCCAAAATTCAAAATTATCATATTTTTATTATTGTTTCTTTACGTGTAAAGACCACAAACATGACATTGGCGGAATTGTGTAAACGCAAATAGGCCATGAATTAAAAAAAAGAAGATTTTCTAATTCTCCTTCACTTACCTTAATTTATCAAAATTTGGTCAAAATGTATTGTTCCTCTCAACACGTTCTGAAAATTCCTAGAGTTGTGAATGTCGTCCATAAAATATCAAATCTTACTCGGTCAACAAAGTTAGGAGCTGCAATAATAAATGATACACAACATTCACAATTAATTCAGAGAAGTTTTAGCAGTAAGAAAAGTCAAAACAGTGAAAATTTTTACCAATATTCATACAAACGTTTATGCTATTCTTTATTATTTGCTACTGCTGCATATTCATCCTACAAAATCTGGTAAATACATGATTAAAGAAATGCTTTTTTGATGTTACTGAAATGTTACTGTGATTTATGGAATACTCTTCTATAAAATACATGTTGTATTTCAGGATTAGATACCAAGTATTTCCTTCAATAACAGCTGCTGAAGAAATATCTGACTCTGACTCTGACAGTGAATTGGATACAAAGAAGAAAAGATACAGAAAAGAAAAGATTGGTTTCAGGGATCGAAAGGTAATTGAATTTTTAATTTTTAGGATACAATTTTTTATACTTTAGTTTATTCACAATGTTATTTTATTAAATATTTTTGGTTTGCTTGCTATCACTTTGATTAGGGTTCTTATTTGAGTTTCCTTTTTAACACAGATTATAGAATATGAAAATCGTATGCGAGCCTACTCTACCCCAGACAAAATATTCAGATATTTTGCAACTGTTAAACTCACCTATGGTGATAGCACTGAGATCTATATGACTCCTGACGACTTTTTAAGAGCAATTACTCCTGGCATGAAACAGCCTGATGGTATTTATAATTTTACATAAGTTTAAAGGGGAATGGCTGCATGTGCATACAAATATTAATATATGAACTATTACTAATGCCACATATTCATTGTCCTATAAGATGGCTGATTTGTTTGCAGACAGGCTATGTGATAAATGTCTTATTCACTTAAATGATAAATCAATCCTGCTAAAACATTTAACTAGTCTTAATTATCATTACTGAATTTGTCATCCATTTTTATTTTTTAAATTCCAATTGTATAAAAGTTTCAAGTTCTGAACATTATCTCTAATTTTGGTTTAATTTTTGGTTTAATGTAATTAGACCACAAAATGTACTAGTCATTCTTCAAATAGGATAGTGAATAGGAAACTTTAAAATGCTTTATTTATTTAGTTAATGATTAGTGTGTATTTCGAATTAATGGTTTTGAAGTCAATAAAAGGCCTGCTCTGGAATGATTGTTACATTTAACTATTAATACCAATTGTGCTACTAGATGCTTTTTGCTTATAACATAGAATTTGTTTTCTCTTGGCTGTATTAAAATCATGTAATTTTAAAAGTGTGTGATCATACATTTTTGGTTGATACAATCGGATTTGTGAGTGGGTGTGGAGTAACAAGGGTTAAGGTTATGTTTCTACTGGTAGCAGAATTGGTACTGTCATGAGCTATAAATTATCTACATATACTACTCATTTGCATGAGACAACAGGCTTGGTGATTACTGAAATGTTGTTTATTTTTGCAATATATAATTACCAATGAATGATGCCAAATTTATATATTACAATCAATATAATAAATACAATTAAGTTAGTACATAATAGAATTCACAAAGCGGAACCAAACAAATACTGCATAAAGATAGTCATACTCTCCTGTCAACCTCGCCTAGCATTCCATACACAAGGACCTCGCTAATCACTATATGGTGGTGGCTTATAAAACTCATACATTTTTGCTTTGGACGCTGCCAAATAGATCATCGAGTATGAGAATAGAATGCGTCAATATTCAACTCCAGACAAGGTATTTCGATACTTTGCTACTCTGCAAGCTCAGCACCATGACCAGCATGAAGTGTTTATGACACCAGATGACTTTCTACGGTCTATGACACCTGGAGTTAAACAGCCTGATGGTAAAATATATGATTTCATTACATATTATTTCATTAGGTTTTCTGACATTCCTGAATGAAATCTGGATGTCGATAATCACTATATTAAAATTATTCACCATGTTCCACTTGAGATGGGAGCATTGATAAGTGATGTAAATGGTTTGGCATAAAGTTTTTTTTATGCATAACAAATGTTATGTGTCCCCATTATCATCTATTTCTCCAGCTTGTAAATTGTGGAACAGTAAGGTGGGCATTCTGAATCAATATGGCGACTTTGAAAAACTGAGTAAATTTTTATTATTATTTTGTATATAAAGCAAATTCATCATTAATTTTTAATCAAGAAACCATTCAAATGAATGGTTATGAACATTTCCATTTATAAAATAATAATCACAACATTATTGCCTTTTATTAATAGCGTCACTTTCAGTGTGTCACCACCTTAACTAATAATCTAATTTCGTGTATGAAAATACTAGTGATGTTCATTCTTGATATGATAGCAATAAAGTCTTATTTTCCTTTACAGGTTTGGGCCTTGATCAGTACAGAAGATATGATCCGAAGGTAATTTCCTTTTGACTAATTTCTATATCTATTATAATAATACTGATTGCAATATTTTTTTATCAGTATAGCTAGCTGTAGTTTTATATTTTCAGATTATATTTATTGTAGGTAAAAACATTTAATATTGAAAGTGTAACAACAATACACTTCTTGAGCAGCATAAATACCAATCTAATAGATGATTTCCTTACCTTAATATGATATTATAATACCGTAAACATATTTAAGCGTAAATATCATATTTAAGCACTGAATGTCTCTAAATAAAATTATATTGTAAAATAACAATTTAACTACTTAAATGATTTTCGGTTTTACGTAAACTTCCATCGTATTGCTACAAATTATGTTGGTTATTCCACTTGACTCTAAAGCCATTGTTTTCAAAACTTTACCGTCCACGCATTATTGTTTCTAGCTTGATGCCAAAATTATTATAGACATTAACATGTATAAATAATAGACATGCAACGAATAGTATATTCGGCCATATACCGAATATTCGGCGATATTAATAGCCGAATATTAGGCATAAGCATTCGGCCAGTATGTGGCGCCAAAACTTGTATCAATGTGATTGTTTCACCCCGGGCCGCACTGCGTGTTTTGACAAGTTTAGCTCGTGCATATCGTAAATACGTTAAGTACAGTTTATAGTTCACTTTTCCTTTTGATTTGTTTGTAAGTGAAGTTGTACCACCTACTTTTATAATAATATTAAATAAAAATAATAATCGATTATGGTCTCTAAAAATAAATCGCCTTTATGGACATACTTCGAGACTACTTTACTGATGAAAGTGATCTAAAAAGTGTTGTGATCGATAGTCTAAAATGAGTTGTGAAGAAAAGAGAGTAAAGAGTCCCCTACTTTGGGTAAGAAGATAAAAACTGAAGAACAAAATCTAAGACAGACTATTCACTCAACTTTTATCGATTGCTTGGAAAAAGTGACAGCAGAAAAAACACAGCTGATGGAGACACATCAATAGAAAAAAATGTGGTTGCGCCAGAAATAGGTATTTTTAAGTATTAATAACATATCACGGCATAACAGTCAGTATACGTGGTGGCGAGCAAGAAAACATAAATAGTATTAAACAATAAATCAATAATTTCTTTTATTTTACGAATTATCTCATTACAACAAAATATGATGATAAGGTAATAAGTATTCGGTATTCGGCCGAATATACCAAAAGCAGCCGAATAGACCGAATACCGAATACTAACCGAATATTCGTTGCAAGTCTAATAAGTATGTAAATTTTTAAAATAATTTTGGCGTCAAGCTAGAAAAAATAATGCGTAATGCTTTGCTAAAATATGTAAGTACGTACTCAAATAGAAATCCATTTAATTAAAAAAAATATATATATTAAACAACATCACATACATTGCTCAGATTCCAAGATGACTAGCTAAAGCCCCCGTATTATGGAGTATCTTAGACAACGAAGGTACCATAACACCCAGACCCGATACAATATAGAAAAGTTCATTTTCTACATTGTCCCGACCGGGAATCGAATCCATCGGCAACGAAGGTCGGATTCAAACTTAACTGAAGTTGGTCAGCAGCAAAATTTCGTAGTCAACGTCGAATCGGTAAAACCATTGTCCAAACTATTCTAATAGCCTGATACAAATTCGAGAAAAACGGAAATAATTCGATACAAGCTTGGAATATTTTCAGACAAGTTTGGGAGCCAATTACAAGAGACTATATTTAAGAATCCATCTCATTTTAGCTACGGAAGGTATAAAAAAAAAACATCAAGTCAAAAAACTTTCATTTCCTTCACGCAAAATTACTAACACGACTTTTTTCACAAATTTTGGTTTTATTTATCATAGCGACAATGAAAATTACTAAAATCCAACTAAAAAAAAATTACAGGAAGTAGTGATTTTTATCAAACTTTATTTTTTACTGTTTTTTAGTAGTTTAGTATGATAAAATTTTGTTTAAAGTATTTCTGAGTGGATTTTAATGATTTTTAGTAGTGTTTAACTCAAAGGTCTGCTGCATATATTGCGTGTTATATTTTTGGTTCATAAATAATTATAAGGCTATTGGTATGCAATATAACCATGGAAATTTTCATTGGATTTTAAACAAAATATACTTAACGTAATATAGTAATATCAATTGAAGTCTTATTTCATTGTTAATATTATTTATTTTTTACAAATATTTTTTTAATATTTATTGTCCGTGTTTTTATAAAAATATGAGTTTACAAATATAATATTAGGAAGATTTATGTAATTCATGGAAGTAACATAAGTAACAGCGTGAAAATACGTAGAAGTCACTTTATATGTATTTTGCTTATCGTATATTGCTTATATAATTAAAGGATTTTTTATTGTTTTACTAATAATCTGAAAGAAAATGTCGTTGGATTAATTCATATATTAAAAAGGAAATATATGATACCCTCATAATAAAAAAAACAGCTGTTATGTTTTAATGTTTGATCTCCATACTGAAAGTTGATATTTGTATCAGGCTATAATTCATTATTAGAATTTTTGTTCACTGAATAGATAGGAAAACAAACTCACTATCTGACCGTACTTCCGTACTTTATTGTAAAAAGACTGTAAACAAAATATTCTACTAAAAATGTTTTCGAGTTAAACATTTTTTTGAAGTTTAGTGGAATAACCATCGTGTCACATTATGTAGCATATAATATAGAACATTATTTTTTGATAATGACAACGCTCAAATTTTTGTTTATTATCAAAATGTATTTAGATGTGACTATAGGCTTATCAATATAATTCTCAACTTATATACCTGTTTTGTAATTAAAATGTCACTGAACACTGCACTGGCACCTTCCTTCTAGCCACTCACATCACTTTCTTATCTTTTCAGAACATCGATGAGGTACTGTCTCTCTCCTCTTCTTATCAATACCACCCTCGAATATTATTTTTCTTTTTATCTGCACATATTTTGCGTTAGTCACTTGTTTTCTTCTTACTGACGCCGTTCGATCAAACGCCTAGAAATAGTTGTATAAACACCAAACACATTGTATAGCTAATTATCAAGTAAATTCACTTTCATTTAGTTTTGATTTGTCATGTTCTTCAATGCTTTATGTAGGTACTACACTTTCAAGACACAGTTTTGCTTGGAGTATTTATTTATCAAAAACACATCACATATATTGGTTCCGAGCATGATCAGATTGATTTGAAAGTAACATTTTTTTTAAAACAGAAATTCACGATATTTTACCAATTTTCTTAAAAATATTTTTATTTTTTTTACCCTAGTTGCATTAATTCCACTTTAGATCGATTGCTGCATTTTTCAAAATATTGTATATTATCCTTCATATAATGAATTCCGAAGGATGTTATTTATCGGAAGTTCTTCATTTCATTAGAAATGTTTCATTCGCTATTGTGGTCAAGAACCATAACGATAGTCTTAGTTTGGGTGCCTAGTTATTCGCTTGCCTTTCTGAGTCTGCGTGTAGAGATATTCATGGGGTTTATTTTTTTCTATTCAGAGTATCAGCCAACGCCTGAATCTAGATCTAGACGAAGATTCGATATTTTACAAACTTGGATCATCTGGCCTGATCACATTCAGCGACTATATTTTCCTGTTGACCGTCTTGTCGAGTAAGTACCGCATTTTGATCTAGTCTTGCACAAAAAGAAAATATGGCCTTTGTAGAAAAAAACATGAACTCGCCTTTACGATGCGTTGCGGATATCTTCAAAATTTTCTTGATGAAATACAAGAAACATTATTCAGTGGACGTATATTGTCTAATAAATAAACAATAATAAACTTAATTATAATATTCGACTTCAGCCCGCGTACTCGAGGAACTCGAAAAGTTCGAAAATAGGGTGGAGAGTGAGATCTTACGATATTTCTCATTTTCGATCTCAACTTTGCTTTCGTCCGTATTTTAAGTCTCGAGTTCATCATGCTACAGGGGATGCTCCCTACCAAACGATCTTGTTCATTACAGATGTGTGTCTTAACTAGTTTTATATGTCTAACAGATACCTATTGCATATATCATGTAAAAAGAAAACAAGCCTCATAGATTCGTGAAATAGACTCTTTATTTTCTAACATATTGATTATAAATTTTTGAATTATATCCGAACATTTCAAAATCTATACCATATATTTTTAACAAGTCGTTCAGCATACTTTCATCGAGCTGGTTAAAATAGTGCTTTAATAGAGCTGTAGTGTTCCTTCCGTCCTTAGATTTATTCATGACGGTGCGTAGTCTAATTCTCCTATTAGTGACTTTTGGACTAAGCACATGTCCTAGACCAAGTTGTTGGATCACATATCCCGAGTCCCTTGGCAAAGTTTCTACTTTCGCTATTACTGTGAAATTGACAGCGCACGGTGTACAGAACTGATGATAAGGTGCCCAGTGTTCATCCGTTGTAAAGTTTCTACCCTCCGTTTTGTGTTTCTCTATTAAATAAGCAACAAATTCGTAAAACGTCGGTCCGTAACTCTTGATTGGTCCAAACAATTTTGTAGCCTTTTCTCTGTGCTCTGCGACGATGGCCTTTGCTAGTTTTCTGTAATACGGCGGGGTTATGTGTTCCAGCTTGTCCCGGTAAGCTGATAATAATCTAACAAACGGTTCTCTTACGACCATCAGCGAAATAACACCGGGAGTATTGATAGCATCACGTAATTCCTCTTCGATAGGACGCGGAAATTTTTTTCGAGCTAGCATTAACGGTGTTTGCCTCGTACGAGCCAAAAATTTCCTATCGTAGCCCCCTGGAAGTTTTAGAAAACATTAATGCTAATGCAATCTAATAGTATCAAAAGCACAAAGGTATTAATGTTGATTATCTTACCTAAAATGTTAAACTTGTACAACCAGAAGGAACTCGCCGCTTTGAAGACATTGCACCATACTAAGCTGTGAATATGATCCACGAAGAATTCTTTGCTATTTATCGAACTAGTGGACAGACCCTGAATACGGCAAACACTTTGTAGCCTTTCGGATCTTTGTTCTAGTTCAGCTATCGTTGTATTATCGGGTTCTGACCAATCGGTGCCGCTCATATCGGTCTCCGGTTCATCATCACCGAGAACGGGGCCTTGCAACTGCAATGAAAAACACAAAAGCGTTTTAAAAATGTACCTAAATCAATAAAAGGATGAAAACCAACAACTGCATTTCATCGTACCCTTGTCTAATTGTTTCTTTACAAAAGGATTTGAATGGCAAAATATATTTCGTTCTTATCACTAAGATTCTTATATCATAATGAGTTGATTTCTATAACTAATAATTTCGAGGATATCTAATATTATAAAGAGGAAATATTTGATTATTTGTTTTGTTTATTTGTTTGTTAGAAATTTGGTATACAGATAGGGTATTATCTGACTTGGATGATTTTTAAAAATATTTCCCTAGAGATCACGCGGGCAAAACCGCTAGCGAAAGCTAGTAAAGAATAAAGAGTACCAGCCACTTTGTATAGTTGTCAGGTACCATTGACCAGTCCCTGACCACTGGTGTGCTCGTGTCGCTCTTGAATATGGTCACTTTCATCACAAACATATAAAGAGTCGCCCAAAACAGGAAGGTCATTGTCTTCGCACCGCATCTCAGATAATAGAAACCTTTCGTTTTTAGCTTCATCGTCATTCGTTTCACTGATATTACCATTATTTCGCGTCATGTGGTACTTAAAGTTTTGTCGCGGTTTTGTTTAGCACTAAACGTTTTAAAAGTTTTGTTTTGATAATGTTTGTGATGTTACAAGCACATATTTGATGTCGTATGAGATCGTCGGATCGGTTGTATATAGACGCACGCAGCATCCGGGAAGAGCTTCACTGAGCATGAGCGAACGTAATGATTTTGTCTCGGGCGAGATTCATCTCGTCACTCCTATATCCTATATCATTTGTGGAATATACTTCCTTCTTTGCCGTTTTAATACAGAATGAGTATGTAAAGACGAGTTCACTCAATAATATTATGAATGAAACTTTAAGATAATACTATAACAGGAGAAATGTAGTTATAGTAGTTTCCTGCAAATCTTAGTAACATAATCTATATAGAATAATAATTTAAGTCCTTAAAACCTCACCATTGGCATAACATTTTAGTATTTTCCTTATTATATTATTTAAATACATTAAATATTAATATTTTTTTGCTATTTTGACTAGCTATCGCCATCGTTATTTCTAGTGTTAACACTTATACATCCTATGTTACTTTTAAATTAAAATTAATTTAACATTTAACTTTACTTATTATTGATTTGTATTACTAAAATATTGTTTACAAAATTTATGTTTAACCATGCGAAATTTTAAATAGATTGGTTCTGTTACTCAAAAGAAAATTACTTACGAAAAGGTAAAGAAGTCAGTGTCAATTTTTTTAATATTAACACCTATATTGGTATGATCCTTTAAGTAGGTATTTAAAGGGGACATATGTTTATTGTAAATATAAAGGCTCTAGTGTTCTGTGTAGCCTGCCAACTATTTTTATGGGTATTTCTCACATCTTTTATGGATAAAAATATTCAAAAGATTCATCTTTATTATTTACTATAAATGATTAACGTTATGTTATCTTAGCATCGCGTCGTCACTTCGAAATAGCATTCCGCATGTTCGATCTGAACGGTGACGGTGACGTGGACTGCGAGGAGTTTGAGAAGGTGGCCGCCCTCATCCGCCAGCAGAGCAGCATCGGGTCTAGGCACCGTGATCACGCTAACACTGGCAACACTTTCAAAGTTAGTCGAACTTTTCCCTGATTCAATGTATTACATTCCATTTTTAAATTCTAACAGTGCTATTAATAAACAAGCTTTAGCAAATTAACGCTGAGACTGCAATTAGTATTAGTCAAAATTCATATTATTAAAGAGAGACTTAGCAAAGATTAACCTAATATGAGGTTCTACGGGAGTAATATTTACTTTTAGAAAGTAGTAGGTTTTGCTTATTATCTGTAAAATAAGAATTTGGACTAATACTGAATTGCAATTTTAGCGAAAATTTACTCTGACGTTAAACCTTGTTTATTAATAGCACTGGTAGAAAGCTCTGTCGACAAAAATTTTATAAAAGTAACGACATCTGTCACTGTCACCATAAGTTACACTAATAAAAGAGAAGTGACACATGTTATAAAATTATAAATATACAAAGTGCGAATACAATGTATATAAGTGAAAAGAAACCAAAAGTACTTCTATTTTATAATTTCGACTATTAGACAAAATTCCCACACCATTCTTCAATAAAAAAAATGAATAACCAACGGATTGCCAGATGAATATTCCCCAGTTTTTTAATTTACTTAAAAAGAAGTTATTATATTGTTCAAAAACTACAATATAATAAACTACAATATGGCACCAGGAAGTTTTTAGGATGAATGATACTATTACTTCAAGTAAATATATTAAAGTTTACCAGTCACGCCTGGAATAATGTCATTATATTTAGTTCCTCAGTCAGAAAATAGAAAAATAATAGATACGTATTTTTTTTTTACTTCAATTTAACATAAATTAGATAATGTACAAGAGAGGCGGCTCGCTACGCCACAACTATGTAGAAAATGTATAAAGGCGTGACGTCATGCGTTATATTTCTATTCAATGTTTGGCCGTAATTTATTGATTACGCAAAAAATAAAAAATAAATGTAAACACAATAATATATAACAGACAGACAAAAAATGGTCATCATCTCTGTTATAATTTATATATACTATGTCATAGTTTATATCGTTAATGTTAACAGTTATTTATGTTTGGAATATGTTTACAGGGAATCAACTCCGCCCTTACAACTTATTTCTTCGGACCAAAACTAAACGAGAAATTGACGATTGAAAAGTTTTTGGATTTCCAACAGCAGCTTCAGAAAGAAATACTTTCTCTTGAGTTCCAAAGGAAACAACCGGGTATGTTATTTTCTTAACGAATTGTATTATCGATGTAAGGATTTACGTACATCGGCGAATAACCACAAAATGTTAAACTGCAATTGATTTTAAACCCTATTATCAACACATTAATTCTAAAAACAATTGTGAAAAGGTATAAGGTAAAAATTCATTAAAGCATGTTCAAAGTTATTAAACATTAAACATACTTTAATGAGTCATTTATTTGTTTTTTATTTATTCTTTATTGCCTAACTAAGGACAACTGCCACTGTATGTGGTTGTAGTATATACAGTGGCACGTTACGAACTCTATTCTTAATGCAGTAAGGTTCAAAATCCAGTAGAAAAATTAACAGTTTTGTACAACCTGACATGCCGCTGACTGTTCAATGCACAGACAAACAATGACAAAATTGTTAGAAATTTACACCAAATTTCCTTACGTTTTGGACCATTGCCGTTTGCGTTTCCCGCATTTCTTATTTATGGCCCATCTTCCTTATTCCCATCAGTAATGGGGATATGATGATTCCCTTTCATTTATTGAGTTTATGAACAAGTGAATGCAGGTACAAGTTTAGCAGCACCCTTGAAGATTACGCTGTTGCTATTAATAAGCTTCGATAGATCCTGTACAAACTAAACTATTTGGTAGAAAAAAAAAAACGTTAACAAATGTTAAAATACAGAGAAGCCATATAAGAGTTCTTTTGTTAAACGAGTATTTATATGATACATATTTAAATTGTTCATTTCGTTATGTACACACAGCTGCACGTCAAGTTATCACAAAATGTCAAATTTCTACAGTACTTTTTGATTGCTACCCTCAATATATTAACGTTTAAAATTAAATGGAGAAATTTGACAGTTTTGTATAGTCTGACGTGCCATACATACTTATAGAATTAATAAATATACGATAATGATGAAACTATATATCTAAGCTATATGTAAAACTAAACTATAAGTTCGTAGATTATATGATTTTATATTTTTCAGACGAGACTGGTCGTATTACGGAAGCAGATTTCGCTGAACTGCTGTTGGCTTACGCAGGATACCCAGCCAAGAAGAAGGCTAGAATGTTGAAACGCGTCAAAAAAGCGTAAGTTTCGACGATATCATATACGTACTAAAAAAGGATATATAAACGTTTTTAGATTTCATTAAAACATATCCTGAAGGCTTGCTATGTTTTTCCGAAAACGAAAATTCGTCTATTTTCGAAACCCTAATATGACCCTAAGGGACACATTTTTCGATAATTAAAAATGAAACGGAGATAGGACCCTGACACTGTTTCTGATGCACAGTTAATATTGCCGCATATTATATTTAAAATAAAATAAGAACGATTTGGAATTTTTGTAATTTTCGCTCATAAACAGAGTAGCCCCTCTATTTTGTATTGAATAAAAAATAATAGTTTATGCAACTGTCATATAAGAAGGGATATTAAAACACGAGAGTCTGTTTATCGATAATAGGTTGACTCGAGTGTTTTAATACTTAAGTTATATGCAGTTTCATACACTACTTTATCTTATAGGAAACATTGAAATTAAACAAAGTAGGTAGGTTACAAGGAAGTAACTTTTTGGAATTCCGAATACAAAAACACGATCGGCAAAAAAATGTATGGGAAGCGCGGGAAATTAAGTTTAAACTACGCATGCGTGCGCCATTTTTTTCATATTCAGCATAAAACCATAGACTAGTTTTTAAATAAAAAAAAATAGCGGTACTATAATGAGTTTTATTTTTAATTTTATGTAGGTATATGCGTTTATAAAGTGCGTATGTATAGAATCGTCTTTGAATTCGTAATTCGAATTTTTCGATTGGAGTGTAGATAAAAAATATTATTAATTTGTTTATCGTAGATTCCGCGACCACGGAGTCGGTATAACAAAAGACGACTACCTGAAATTCTTCCACCTGTTGAGCAATATAAACGACGTGGACACAGCGCTCACGTTCTACCACATAGCGGGCGCGTCCATAGATCAGCCAACGTTGATACACGTGGCGAGAACAGTGGCCCACGTCGAGTTGGACCCGCACGTTATCAACGTGGTGTTCACTCTATTCGACGAGAACAGTGAGTTGGTTTTGTTTTACTCTTTGTTACTTTAAAGTGAAGTAAGTGCCCGGCACGAAAGTAAACCCAATATGACGTGCAAATTAAAAACTTAAAAACACTTGTACTTTAATTTTTAACACAGTTACATAATTTCATGTATCGCTGTCACAATCGCAATACTTTTGAAAGTGGTTCCAAAAGATTTTGAAATAAGATAATTAGGCCACAGGTCTACCCTATGATCTAGATTTGTAAGTCATGTCAATAAGGCCGATTTTACAATAATATTGTAACATTGACTATTACTTTAAATGTAATAGTCAATACAGATAATAAACAATGCGTCATAATTAAGCATTTAAACTCGATTAGGAAAGATGCTACAACTTTTCCCAAAATTGGCAGACCATTATCTTGGCCGAACCTCAATTCAAATAGAAAGGTACGGTTTCCATATTTACACGATTTTGAATAGGATCCAGGATCTCAGACATGGCGACCCCTTGACACTGGCACTAGGCTACTTTGCTACTTGTTTATCCGTGGTTTTCTTTGCTTTGGCTGTAGATGTTTAGAACCTAAGTAATATGACACGGTTTAATTTTCATTTGCGCATATAATAATAATAATATTAATTTCCACCACGAATAACATTATAAAAGGATGTAATGTACAATAAGATTATCCTATTAAGAGTCATTTGTGGGAGACTGATATCAGATCAATGGGAGCTTTTAAAATCAATTTATACACCAATGGAAAAGAGATTAGGTTAGCTACAGTGTCTAAGATGTCATCTGTGTAAACCAGGCTTAGAGGCCATCCTTAAATTACGTCACATGAATTTTATAATTTTTTCACAGACCTTACAAAGTCTATTTAATATTGTTTTGATGACAAACTTTTTTGACACACCCTTTTTTGTTTATAACGCATTTCTTTAGGCATTACTTATGTCGTTAAACGGCTCCTAGTCATTGGTGCATTTTCAACTTGGTCCATTTTTAAATATTTTAGGTGACAGACAACCAATTTCTGAATTGAGAAAAGTACAACTGATTATTGTCAACAACTTAAGTTTTTTTTATTTTCCACAAGTCAAAAAGTACTAGTTCTATCAACCTATTATCAAATGATCATTAAAAATAAATTCAGAAATTAAAATCCTGCTTAAGTACAGTTTGAGACATTCTTAACTTAAAATTCTCAATACAGAAAGCGGTGTTATTATTAAGTTTAATGATACTAAATACAGATTTTTTGATTATTTTCTTCAGTGGACGGTCAACTGAGTAACAGGGAATTCGTGGCGGTGATGAAGAACCGTATCCTGCGCGGGCTAGAGAAACCTAAGGATACGGGATTCGTGAAACTGATGCACTCGCTAGTCAAATGCGCAAGGGACACTAAACCAGCTATACTGGACTTTACTTCTTAGAAAAGAGAACGCATAATCAATAAATAAGATGAAAGCAGTACCGTACGTACATATTTATTTCTGCAAATATATTGTAATTTTTTTAAGTCTTGAGTCAAAACTCAACGATTTCATTATTTTGTTATACTGTCAAAAGATGGCATTGGTTATTCTAATTTTATTTTTAATAATGGCAATATCAATTTATAGTTATATATTTTTCGCTAGTAAAGGTTTATTTTGGTTATATAAACCAGTATAAAATCCATAGCTTACTATAGTGGTAATTTTGCAAGCGTGCAACAGAAAATGTCACCTGAACCAGGGATTCCCAAACTTTTTCAGGCAAAAGACCCCTTTTTATAATAAACTGATATCTTAGCCCATAATCAAGATACTTTAAAAATCCAATCTATATATGAAGTTTTTTAAAAAATATTATTTATCAATTGATAGCAAAAATTCAACAGTTTGTAATGTAAAACTTAGTTAACATTTTATATATATTATTATATTGTTTGACCCCGGTACAAATTAATTCAATTAATAAATTCAATCGCAACATTAAAACTGTCTATGCACTAAACTTCTTTATTTCTGCTGAGGACATTATTTATCTACGTATAATAGTGTTTCTCAAAGTGTGCATCGTATTTTGGGAGACCATGGAAATATTATTCAAATTGCGGCAAATGATCGGAGTCAAAATAATATATGTCTATAATTTTGATAAAAAATACACATAAAGATGATGCTTTAATTTAGGGTTTTATGTAAATATTCAGTTTCCAAAGGGGTTCAATAGCCAAAACAGTTTGAGAATAAATTTAAAAAATATATCTCAAAATAAGCTCTCTAAAGTAATTATTTATATAAAATATGTAAAAATTAATGTATTAAAGTAAGTAATTATCATAGTTCATAAAAAGAAATCAAAAATCCCTGCGAGGTAAAAGATATAACATTCAAATTTTCTTCTATTGATTATAAGCGTTAATACCCTACTGTCAAAGTCCAACTCAATTGTAGAAAGTTGTTATTTTGTAATAAACTATACATACGTATGAAATATAGAATAATTTCCTTTGAAAATACAGATTCTAAGAATATAAGTCTTGTTATAATCACATTAACGAACTTGCTTAATAATTAATTGTACGATAATATAAATACTAACCATTTCAATTTCATAAAATATCGATAAGTCGAATTTGTTTTAGATATGTAATTTTTTATATCTTATTACGAAACTATCCATAAGAAATAAACTGTGGGCCTTTATGATTTCTTTAACTTTGTATAAAAAAAATATTCTGTATATTCATGTAAATACATTGTAAAGAAATATTATCCTATAAAAATATGACTAGTTTAAAGTTTATTAAAAACATATGGTCTATATTTGTTGTATTTTGTAATATTATAAGTTATTTTTAAGATATTTTTTTATTTGTTGAATTTATAATATTGTATGTAGTACCATAATATATAATTTTTGTGATTATTAATGCGTGTAACATTCGAGTTAAAAGCTCAAAATTTTGTTTATAGTTTATAAGCTCTATATCAATAATGTATTTATTTAGCCAGTTTAGAATAATGCTGTGCTTAACGAGTAGTCAATCTTGTTAGACCCGTAACACCAAAGCCGCCTTTGGTAGTCAGATCATAAGGTTTCTTTATATCGTTACTGCAATAATCTTCACATTTAGTTTTAAAATAATAAATAACCACCAATTGGTTAAAGTAACAGTTAAATATAATCTTCTAGTCTATAATCCTGGTATATATATTTGTTTTTTATGATTATATATCTTGTTTTGCATTGAACTTGAAAGCTGTAATCTCAATTATGAGCTATCTTTGTTGTTACTTTTCATGAAACGCATATTGATATCTTTTGTACAATTTTTTTTACTGAATCTACATACATACTTTTTATAATGTTTTTTATTGAATTTTTGTGCAGACGATAAGAATCTTTGTGAATTTTACATTAATTACATTATGTCATAATAATCTTTTGAATTTTCTTTAGAACCTCACTTACCAGCCTTTACCAAAAAAAAATATTGTATTAAAAACTTTTTATGTAATGAAAACGGTAATAATAAGAGTGCATTCAAAGTTAGAAATATTAATCATTTTCCTTCTAACGACCCGCGTATTGGCTTTCAATGAAATAGATGGAAACAAATTATAATTTACTATGTGGAAAAAGAACCATTTAACCTACGCTCAATTAATGACTTAAAGCGTATATTGTAAAATAGCTCGTCATCTTTTAATTATAAAATTATTTAGATGTATCTCAAATAATTTTTGGACTAGAAAACTTAAAATTCTCGGTTAAGCTCGGTTATTGTTTAGAAATTTTTAATTACAGCTTATTTGACTATCGATTGTTTAGAAACAATTTTATATTTGCGATTTGCTAATGCGTCCTCTTAACATGGAATGTTTGGTGGTCATCGAACCCGCGTGGAATGGAACGGATCGTTGCGAATTTCGGATTGCCCCAGAAACAGCGCAGCGGCAACGTCTTGTAAATCACTCGAAGTACAGAGTAAACGGACGTGCTCCGCCGCGGTGCCAGCGGAAAATATATATAGTTTGATGTGCCTTGGAATAATTCTGATAATAAACGACACTGGTTGTGCGAGGCTAGTACGCCTCTAGTATTGTACTGAGCTGCCCTCTGGTGAGTACAGTCTGCTACTTAATAACACCATATCCCCACTACTTGAATATTAGCTACTACGGAAACCCCATGTCATCTCCATCGGAAGTGTAATTTATAAGCGGAATGGTGTTGCCAACTTACGTCATATCCTGTTTTATGAGCCCTCGATGTTTATGATGGATTCAGCACTGTCTTGTGGTAATAGTTTGGATTTATGGTATCTAAACCAATTATATTTTAAATATATTCGTTTTATTAGAATGAAAAATGAATGGAGACAAAAATTTTGTGAGGCGGTTGATTTTTTATAAGTGGTTTATACGTTATCGTTAAAATTAACTTCTTTGATTCTTATATGATAAAATATTAACTAAGAGTTATGTCTCCTGGGATTTTGGCATCGTTATATTTAAACTCTTCAAGAAATAGAATCATGATTATTAATACAGGCCTTGAATTATCTCTGTGCCAAATCCCATATAAATCGGTGGATTCTTTTTGCATTTAAATTATAATGTATACTTACGTATTCATAAATTAGTAAGATTGCTAATTCTAATTAGTTTTTGTGTCATACAAGTTGCCGGAACCTCGCGTAACCCAATTTCGTCATCGTGTGTCATTTTGTTTTACTAGAGCAGACATGAATAATGTTTAGCCGACTTTCCGCAGTTTATTATTATTAGATATCGTCTTCAATCGATCCAATCCAATAATAATATATAATATTAGACAACATCGCATACATTGCTGAGATTCCAAGATATAGAGTGGCAAACACCTATTTTCACTTACCTAGAAAAAGGCATAGTTTAAGTAGGAAACGCCTAATATTACGAATCGTCTAAAGCAAATTAGTTTAATTTCAATTAAATCTTTTTTTCTTTTATCCTTTAACATATTTATGACCTGGGATATACGCAAATGCCTAGCTCAAGGCGCCTCATAACGAATATCATAACTAGACATTGCTTAATTTCGTTAGGTGGCTCCTAGTCAATGGTGAAATGCATTATTACCTTAGGCGATTCTTAAATATTAAGGCGACAGACTCGTACGACTCCTAAGTTAAGTGAAAACGGGCATTCGACTACGAAGGTACCAACATCCAAAATTAAGAAAATGAACTTTTAAGAATGTATTTTACCCTATAAAAAGAAATAATTCATAAGTTCACGTAGTAGGCAAAAAAGTATTTGTTGTTATAACGGCAACATAAATACATCATCTGTGAAAATTTCCACTTTATTAACTATCACAGTTCATGATATAGAGATTGGTGACAGGCAGAAGGACAGTTAGCAAAGTCTTAGTAATAGGGTTCCCATTTAACCCTTTGGTTACGGAACCTTAAAAATAAGAAATTCAATTATTGCTGCGTATTTTGTTGTGCTCTAAATGAAACAAAAAACTTATTGTCATTAGAGTTTTTTGTAAAATTACACATTTCGTTGTCTTATGTTTGTCAATTAAATATACTTTTGTATAATGCAATAATACCCTTACTCCAAGGAAAGTTGTAAAGGTTGTTTATATACATATAGGTAGCTCTTTTCACGTCATGTGACTTTCTATTATATAACGCTTATATATTGCTTATTGGTAAGGCCGTTAGTTTACTTCTGTTATATTAGTGTACAGAGTTGAAATTGCAATTTGTCAGAATTAAACTAAATGCAGCTACATTGTGCAACAAAATTACACCATTAGTAAAAAAAAAATGTTATAACATTTTTATTGCATTCGATTAATATAATGTTTATTTTTCAGCTATATTTATTTGCTGAAAAATACCAACATGCCTATGTACCAGAGGCCGCCGTTTTGGAGGGTACCACATCAGCGACCTGACCCTGACGACAGTAGAGACTTCGGCCAGAGGAGAAGGGTGAGTGTCAACTACTACCCAGTTGTTACAAAACTAGGACTAAGTTTCGTACCAGATTTAAACCATTATTAGACCAAAATATGTCAACATGTCTCAATATGACGATTTATCTTCTTCACACATTGTAAAACCAAAAGATACTATTTCATTTTGTAAATATTAAAACCAGAGGGAGCAATTTACTTTTCTTGTCGGAGTTTGTTTCACCAGTCCTTCTCAGACAAGACCCCAAATTTATAACTAGTGGTAGTTTACGGTAGCTAGGGGTAAATAAATAAGTCAGATGTATTTTTAAAATAAATTAATTAACCTCACGGAACCTGTTAAGGGTCATAACCCAAGATTTGGCTGTATGGCTTAGTGTCCTTCGCCTGTCCCATGGACGAATTATAATACTACTACTACTGCAAAGGGTCAGAAACGTCAATAAAGAAAAATAACGATGACCGTTTCAAAATTGTTTCATTAAATTTCTCTTCTGTTATTTTCAATAGGGATGGTAACTAATTGTTTATCCGTCAGGTATAATATTGAAGGATTCTACACGTATTTTTTATATTTTCGTAATCAATAAATTACGGCGATACGTTTGAAATGTAGTATGACGTCACACCTTTGTACATTTTCTACATAGTTGTAACTTAGCGAGCCTCCACTCCTTAACTTTATTTATCATTAACCAAACCATTTCAATAGTATCTAATATTTTTCTATCAAATTTAATAATTATTACTTGACTTCAACTCTACCTACATATTGTTACATGAAATAAATTTAAATATTATTATTCAACTTCATCCTATTATACATATATACAATACATATTTAAGAAGGTTCATATTTGTTGCTAAATCAATGCATTTCCTTGTTGGTTTAGATTATGAGTAGTTAACACGTGACTATCATACATATAACATGTTGATTCTATCTTCTATACTCATTCAATGGCTCAGTATTTTCTAAGAACAAAATACTGAGTAATAATCTCTATTATTTATTGTAGTCGTAAAATGAGCAATCATAACATTTAAGAAATCACAACGAATAAAACGAATATCTTTTAATAAACTATATCCGTGAATGTGTTCCATTTGTAAACAAAACGCTCGTTGCACGGCTGTTTCGACACATTAATTACCCTCGGATTCAGTAAATCGAATTAGGTCGATCGCTATGACAGGGTTAGGCGTAATGCAAGTGCAGAGTGTGAGAGTAGGGAGGGTTAGATTGAGTAGTGATTCTAATTTTGCACGCATAACGTCGCGTGTTGCCGTTGTGTACAGTACGCGCATAGAGCGCGCGCCCGCGCAGTGCATACACACGCCATGGGGCGGCTGCATACCTTCGTGGTGACATTACGTCGCGAGAGTCGTGACACCAACTGGGGCCTTCGTTTGGTGGGCGGTGCTGATCTAGCTACCCCGCTCATCGTCACTAGGGTACTAAACGCCATTCATTCTTCTTTATCCTTCTCTCTATCATATCCTTACCCTTTAGAGTGAAAGTGATTAGAATTAAAACCATCTTAATAATGCTTATGCGCCTGCGCATCGACGCGCACCGGTGTAAACAAACACGGCGTTTACTGGACAAATGTGATTTATGTTTGCCAGACGACTTTAAGTAGCTTTCACAATCGTGATTTTATAAACTCGAGGAGCTTCTGGTTTTATTTAGGAAATTGTTGGAGATCTCAAAACAGTCGAGTCTACTAGGCAATTAAAATAATTCTTTTGGGATTATATATAACGTGTCTCGTGGATGTTTATATCCGATGTATTCTGGGATAGCATCGTTTGCCGGCCGATCGACACCGCGAAGTGACTCGACCTTATTATCTTAACAAAACATGTTCGATTAATACATGCAATCCCGATTATATACTCGCGGTTTGTCAATCTAGACTGTCAAATCTTGATTTCTTTTGGCAGGCGATTACGTTTTAATTTGCTATTGTAATTTTATATTTTTATCTTATAATGTTGATATTTACATCTTGAACTTGAATATCGTAGTATTACTAAATAATTATTTATTTCGCGGTTACTAAACTTAATATTTTGTCCTCAAATCATCCGTATAATATGATGAATATTTTTTAATTGATTAAAAATCTAGATAACGTGGCCTAAGATATTTTTGCTTTGAATTTAAAAGCTTTTGTGTGTTTTATGAAATGCACTTATTACTTGCAATAAGTTTATCATAGATCATTAAAACTGAAATCTTAACTAATATTAAAAAGAGGTTGAGTTTTTAACTTTATTTGTTAATAGGAAGTAATTGTCTTAAATACTGATTAGGTCATGAAACATTTTACACCTACTATCTATAATTTACTGTGTACTGAATTTCACGTGTCATTTATTGGTAATGTGTAAGTAAAATTTGTTTGAATACGGTTTAGATGAAGAAAACAGTAGACCACATCTTTGTGCGAATTTTTCCGAAACACCCCGAGTCATAGTATAACGTTCTCCCAGAATTTATTCCCAAACCCACATATTTTAAAACTCTTTGAAGATGAACTAATTCTCCCTTTGTCATTGTTCCGTATAACCATATGACCATATATGACATATGACCCTTTTTAGGGTTCCGTACCTAAAGGGTAAAACGGGAACCCTATTATATAGACTGTCAGTCTATTATTAGGCTGTATGTACCTCATGCACTCTGAAAGTTAGACAGTTGAAATTTTCGCAGATAATGTATTACTGTTGCCGCTTCTTCTTATTTCTTGTTTCTTCTTATCAACCAAAAGACGTCCTGAACGAGTGGTAGGGAAAAAAAATGTTGGACGATTCAAAAGTACTTTTAAGAAGTCTATTTTAATAATGATTATTTCGACTTTGACTTTGCTTTAACAAAAAAAATATTTAAGAGGGCTCATACAACAAACGTGATTTTTTTTGCTCGTTTCTGGTACAGAACCCTACGTGTGCGAGTTAAGTGCCGGTTTTTCTTTTCTTTGGTTTATGTACAGGAAAATACAGTACCAAAAAACAACGCTCGATTAGTTTGTATAAAGTTATTTCAATATATTGTGTCTGTCACTTCCACGTAGGACAACAGTTTCAAAATTATCAAATTCAAAATTAAGCTTTCACTACCCTTTATATAAAGCAGAGTTTATAATAGGAGCAAAAGTAAACTGAGCACATAACTGGATTTAAGCGAAATCCAGAAGAGAAACGCCAGTAATTAAAAAAAAACAAATGCGATTTCCATTACTCAGCAGCGGAGTATTCTCAGTAGTGTTGTGTAGTAATTTTACGTGTAGCTAAGTCTCAAACTATTGTTGGCTTTTCATTCGATCAACAAATGAAATATGCGGTGAATGCCTTGATAATGATTCTACAGTTGAGTAGCCAACTATCTAAAGACCGCGTATATTTATAAATCACTAAAAACATACCTACCTCTCTATTTTCTTATACTGATTGTCTGATAAGAATACGCTACGACATCTAAAAACAGTTATCTATAATGTTACAGGGAGGAAAGATTTGATCGTTTGCTTTTTTTGCATCGAATAGGCATACGGTATAGGAATTTTGAAAGTTGAAAAAAAATGACTTAAGTTGACAGACTACGGGAAGCTACATCATATGCAGTAAACATAGGCCATATTTTATCTCGAAAAACAGCAAACAAAGGTATGAAAATGAAAGTGGTTTTAAAAAGTTACCACAGTAACCATTGTTTACTATTCTATCTGTGATTGTGAACGTTTTTGGTAAATCCATGTAGAAAGATAGAATTGGTAATTCAAAATGTTTGGTTGAATGAATGTATTATATTTTTATTTATTTATTTATGAAATAATAGCTTTTCGTTCACAATGTAATCACCGTAGTTATCTACCACTGTGCGCCAGCGATTAGGCAAAGATTGGATTGTCTCTGTAAAACTTTGCAGGTTTGAGTTTGAAAAAGTCATCTATGTACAAACATAGTACATCTATGTTGTAACTAAGAGTTCGTCATGAAAGCTTTTTTAGCCCAAATGATTACTAAGTGACCGGAATAAAATCTGTTGACGCTTAGTTCGGTGAATACGGAAAATGTGGAACTATTTCCCAGTTCAGCAGTCATGTTGTGGACGCTTATAATGAAGTTCAAGCTTCATATTATCGAGTCGATTACAGTACAAGTTCACTGTGATCGTGGTATTGGTAGGAAACATCATACCGAGAGCATCATCTTGCGAGGATGAAGATATTTTTTGGCGTAGGTTTGCCTGGTTCATTGCGGCGTAGGTTTGCCTGGTTCATTGCGGCGTAGGTTTGCCTGGTTCATTGCAGCGTAGGTTTGCCTGGATCATTGCGGCGTAGGTTTGCCTGGATCATTGCGGCGTAGCTACTTGCATGTTTATACATAACCCACTAATCGTCTCCAGTGACGAGATGGTCTAGTCAGTTTAATGTGCGACGAAATGTCTGCACGGTAACCGAGTTGATCTTTTGGTCAGCCGATGGGGAACACAAACTCCAAATTTGTAAGACTTTCCTAATGCGTGCAAATCATTTTCAATCGTACCATAAGAGCAACCAAGCTCTACAGCCAAATCACGTGTGCTGCGTCTAGAATCTTCTTCAATCAACGTATTCAGTTTATTTATTTTTGTTTCTATTAGAAGCCCAGACCTTGGTTGATCTTTCAAGGAATAGTAGTAGAATAGTCTCCACTGCGGAATCGTTGGAACCACCGCTTTACTGTTACCTCGGAGACTGCGTCAAGAGCTTTGCTGCAAGCTGCACGTAACATATGCATTGGCATATGTTACGTGCAGGTTCTGCAGCGAAATGGCCAGATTGGTACTCATATAATAATCAATGTCGGACATGGGTTTTAACATCATTTATTTTGACGTTAACGTAACGACATACGAAGTATTACTGTCGTTAATGATCACGACTCGCTGTATACCCCCCGTCATAAAACATTCTCGACCCTACTTAAAGTCTCTAGAAAATAAAAATTAAAACACTCATTATTTATTAGCCAACCCGATATTATGATCACGAGTATCAACAAAAACTTTAATTGCCATAGATTGCAATTGATTTTGTGAAATAAAATTCGGTGAAATATGGGTATGATTTGCTCTCGAATAGTGTTACTAATAAACAAGGTAAGAAATACTCTTCCAGTGCTTTTAATAAACAAGGTTTAGCGTCAGAGTAAATTTAAGCTAAAATTGCAATTTTAGTATTAGTTAATAATCATGTTATTAAACAGAGACTTAGCAAAGGTTAACCTAGTACGAGATTCTACGGGAGTAATATTTACTTCTAGAAGGTGGTGGTTTGCTTATCTCCTGTATTATATGAATTTGGTTTAATATTAAAATTGGAATTTTAGCGTAAATTAACTCTGACGCTAAACCTTGTTTATTAATAGTCTTTCAGAGTATTTCGTACCAACATAACACAATATATTGCTATGCTTTATTAATAATCGATAAATACTCAAGATCAAAAAACGATGAAATTATATAATTATGTATGATGTCCCCACCATAGGGCTAAACTTATCGACTTCTTCGATATTCTTTGGGGTGGATCCAGCACCGGTTTAGTTAATGTAACTTAGCGCCCTAGGCAAAACACTGGAACTTAGCCCTCTAGGTAAAAAACTGAGACGACGCCCATAAAATACAAGAAATAAATAAAAGACTAATGTAGGAAGTTCTGCTAATCTGAAAATTTTGTACTTTTGGATACCGTGGACATGACTCATGTTCGAAGAACAAAAGTATTTTTTAGGGTTTAAATAATCAGAGTAAATGCAATCTGTTTGCCAAACCATGCCGCCCCTTAAATACGAGTACCCTAGGCAGTACCTAGTTTGCCTATACAGGAATAATTTAAAACCACTGCGAAGATTTTGTGAAAATAAACTTTAAGTAATTTAAATAAACACGTATTTTTTATTTTGATATGTTCTAATACTAAAAAATAAAGTTATCGCTTATCAAAGATCGAGATTTTAAAACTTCATTTATGGACACCGCGCGCCGTGCGTCAGCTGACCGCTCGCTCGACGCCGTAGGCATGTACTCATAGGTACCTATCTACACGGGTCACTGAACGCTCATTTTGTTAGATTCGAACTAGATTTTATGCCATGATCTGAGGTGATTTCTAAGAGTAATTTCAATTTTCCCTTCATACTTTTATGGTTAAGGCCATTAAAATGCAAAAAAATAAAAGAGAAACAAATTCGTTACCTAGAAAAAAATATTAACGTTATGCCGAAGTTACATAGGTACTTCTGCGTTAAGGCGTATTTAAAAAAATTAGAATCAACTACGTATTTACAATAATGTTGAATCAAAACAAATACCTAACTAATTACTTACCATGTATTTTAATATTTGTTCAAAATGAAGTCCACGTCTGTCCAGACATAAACGTGCACATTTCATTAAATTG